CGAAAAAAATTATATTTCTCTTCCTAATATTGTCGTCATTCAAGATGCAATTCCGGTACAAACAATTAATGATCAGGTACCTGTTCATGACATTGTTATGGAACATGCTTTGGTTCCTGACATTACTTTGGGTCAAGACAATAATGAACCACCTCTTTTGCCACATGAAGAACAAACTCAAGAAGTGTCATGAAGGAGATCCATTAGAGAAAGGAGAAACGTAATTCCAGATGATTATATTGTATTTCTTCAAGAGCATGAAAATATTTGAGGCTTAAAAAAAGATGATCCTGTCAACTTCCAACAAGTATTACAAAGCTCTGATGCTCATAAATGGATTGATGCCATGAAAGATGAGATGAAGTCTATGAAAGATAATGACGTTTGAGATCTTTCGAGTTACCTAAAGGTCCAAAACTCATTGGTTGTAAATGGATATTTAAAACCAAAAGGGATTCCAAGGGCAACATCAAAAGATATAGGGCACATCTAGTTGCTAGAGGTTTCACTCATAAGAAAGGTATAGACTATAAAGAGATATTTTCTCCAGTTTCTACGAAGGACTCTTTTATGACCATAATGGCACTTTTGACTCATTTGGATTTGGAGCTACATCAGACGGATGTAAAAATAGCGTTTCTCATTGGTAACATTCATGAGACCATTTATATGGTGCAACTAGGAAACTTTGTATTTGGAGATTCAAAGTCTATGGTTTGCAAATTAAAGAAGTCCATATATAGCCTTAAGCAAGCTTCTTGTCAATGGTATCATAAATTTCATCAGGTTATCATCTCTTATGGCTCTGAGGTGAACTTAGTAGAAGATTGTGTGTACCACATGTTCAGTGGGAGTAAATTCATATTCCTAATACTATATGTTGATGATATATTACTTGCCAGCAGCGATATAGGCTTATTGAATGAAACCAAAAAGTTTCTCACTAAATTTTTTGAGATGAAGGATCTTAGCGATGCATCTTTTGTCTCAGGAATACAGATATTTAGATATCTCTCTCAAGGTATCCTATGGTTATCACAAAAGGCCTATATTGAAAAGATTATGGATAGATTTGGCATGAAGGATTGTACATCAAGAGACACACCCATATCTAAGGGAGACAAGTTTAGTCTCGGTCAATGCCCCAAAGGTAAGCTTGAAATGATGGAAATGACAAAGGTACCTTATGCTTCGGCAATAGGAAGCCTTATGTATGCCCAAGTTTGTACTCGCCCTGATATAACATTTATAGTAGGAGTGTTAGGTAGATACTTGAGCAATCTAGAAGTGGATCATTGGAAAGCAGTCAAGAGGGTTATGCGGTATTTAAAGAGAACAAAAGATTACATGCTCACATATCGGAGGTCAGATGAATTAGAGATCATTAGGTATTCTGACTCATATTTTGCTGGATGCCAAGACAGTAAAAGATCCATGTCAGGTTATGCTTACATGTTAGCTGGAGGAGCTATTTCTTGGAAGAGTGTTAAGCAGACACTTGTAGCTTCCTTTACTATGGCAGCTGAATTTATAGCTTGTTTTGAGGCGTCCAACCATGGGGTATGGCTGCGAAATTTTGTCACAAGGCTGCATATAGTTAGTGGTGTTGAAAAGCCACTAAAGATTTATTGTGACAATAAGTCAGCAGTGTTGTACTCCAACAATATAATAGACGCTCTTTAAAATCAAAGCACATTGGTATAAAGTTTCTGGTTGTTAAAGAAAGAGTTCAGAGTGGTCAGATTTTCATAAAACACATAGGGACGAACTCTATGCTTGCGGATCCGCTTACTAAAGGCTTAGTGCCTAAGGTCTTTTACGAGCATACTGCTGATATGGGTGTTGTTTTGTTTGATAACACTATGATTTAGTGAGAGTTCTTTATGTTGGTGTTATATGTAAAAACATTTATATGTATGTTTTCTGCAGAATAAAGATTTTGATGTTATTTTCCCTCTAAATGTATATATTTTGTGCTTGTGTTTCTGCTTTGTGTATGCAGAAAATTAAGGACAGATTTCATAAGGACTAAAGTAGGACCAGTTGGAAATAGGCATGACAGAGATCACATTGCATGTAATTTCCATGCCACTCATCCATACTTGATCCATGTTATTGAATATATTGGTGTAATGACCATGGAAGGTTTAGTTACGATTAACAATGACAAAAGCCGTCATAATCTCATTAATATAGGAGATGGACCATATTGTATCTAAGGAGGAATCTAAGGATAAATAGCATACAATTGCGCACTAAGGATATATGATATAATTATCTCAGGTCAATGTGTAGCCCAAGTGGGAGATTGTTAGGAAATTATATTTCCTAATGTGTTTGTACGCTACATATTGTATAAATAATTATATTACGTTATTTAATATATATTGGGTAAATTAAAGTGACCAAATAAAGATGCCCAAATAGATTCCCAAGTAAGTACGGGACAAATAGGTGGGTACCAGTGTTGGACCAATTAGGTATAATGAGAGTTTACTGGCCCAACAATAAAGAAAAATACTATAAAGGGTTATGGTCCCCAATATGTCAAATAACAACCTTAGTTTCTCTTCCTCATCAAGAGAGAGACAACACACTAACGAATAAGGATTAGGGTTATTTGACTGAGGAAGATCACATACCCCAAAGGTGAAGATCGAAGTTATTCCGCTGCTATAGAGACAAGTATGCCTCCAACTTTCTGTTAATATTCCTTTATGATTTGATATGATGGATCTTGGTTTGTTCCGCTGTTATGGAGACAGATATGCCTCCATCTTTCTGTTAATATTTCTTTATGATTTGATATGATGGATCTTGGTTTGTTGGTGATGGTTATCACCATAAGGTTAAGAGGAATTTATTATTCCAACACAAAGAAAGGGCATTTCTTGTTCAAGTCAATCGGATTGAAGTTACAGGAAAACTGCCTACGAATCTCTTCAGGTCTGCCTCTATAAAAAGTTGAGATATGCTTTCTTGTTAACTTTGATGTAGATGCATTTTTATTCCATGCATTTTTCATGGTTAATATTACACGAGTCCTGTTAACTTTTACTTTTAGTAAAAGAATATGTATTACAGGAAGGAGTACTGAAGATTTACTCCATGATTATTAAAGCCACAATTATTAAGGCCACGAAGGATCAGAAGTGAGAGGACTTTTATAAGAATGAATTTTAAAATAATAAAAATTATGTTATTTTGAATTATTGTTTTTGGTACAAATGTTAATCTGATTGATAAGATGGCACAACTTTTCTTTGTTTTTATTAATTTACAAAATCCATTTTTATCTGCTGCAAATTAAGTGTGTTTTAATTCAAAAATATCCGAGCATAGCCTTTGATAAGGCATCGTCGAACTCTGCACACATTTGTGATGAAATGTGAATTGTTACGCCAGAAAATTGAAAAAAGAACAATTGTAAATTATAAAAAGATCCATATCTAGGTGTCATGGAAAGCAAAAGAAGTTCCCAATGGCAAAGATCCAAAGTAGAGCACTATTAAAGATGTAGAGTAGAACAGAACGAATCAGAATAACATGGATAGTAACTCAGCCACCAGAATCAAATGCCTTATCTTGGAATAAACATTTAACTTTTTCTCGTAAATATAAATAGAATTTTCTTTTTATGTTTGACACTTCGTGATAAGGAATACAATTCCCTATATATTTCATTGCAGAAAGAAAGCACAAATACCGATCCTTGCTCCTTCCTATTAGTAAGGGGGCCACACGTGAAGTTTCATAATCTTAATTAATAGCACGTTTTGACAATGAAAAGGAAATAAACAAGAGGAATTGTTTTTTTTTTAATTATTTTTAATCAACCTTATATTCATTATATTTATTGTTTCAAAATGTCATTTACAGTATTTTCTTCATAAAGTTTTGAAAACATGTAATAGAATGAAAAAAAAAATGTATTATTTTTATAATTACAAACAAAAATATAAAAACAAAAAATAGAAATAGAAAACAAATCAAACATTCACTTACCGATATTTCGGTGGCTCTTTTAATTTCTCCTTTTATTTCAAATTTATTAGGAGTGTTTGTGATTTAATTTGAGTCAGTTTCAAAAGAAAAATCACATAAACCAAAGCAGGGAATTGATGTGTTTGCTTCTATTTGGAGAACCAAACTAAACTAAATTATCTTCATCCATTTGATTCGATTTGGTCTAATTGATTATTCTATCTAGTAGTTTTTCTTAAATAAACTCAAACTTCATTTCATTTCTTTCTTTCCATGACTCAGTTAACAGTAAATTAAATTTGTGTAAAAGTCTTAAAGAAATCACCATCAATAGATGTAAACAACAAATTAACCTTAAAAGTTTTATAACAATAACAGTAAGCTATAAGATAATTATACATAAGTAATTAAACTAATACAACATACAACGTTTTGGTTTGATTTGATTTTATGAATGAAGTTCAAACAAAACCAAACTTATTCACTTTTAGTATTTCAATTCGATTTTTTCAGTATAAATAAGGGTTCTATTTTTCTCATATATGAGAGAATTATTTATAGCAAAAAAAAAAACTTGTAAACTACGGATAATACATAGTTATAATAGTAAAATTGTTTTTTCTTTCTCTGTCACGTCAGCTGACAATATCTAAGGAGAAAAAAAAAAATTTAATACTATAATTCTGTATTATCCGTAGTATATAGTTATTTTTTTAGAAGAATGATTACCCTATAAATAATACTAATAAGCAACTATCTCATCCAAAAGTTTAGATGAGACAAAATTATTAATTTTATATTTCTCTAATAAATATCAATAAAGTTTTCTAAGGTAATTCATTTATCAATTATTCTCTTATATATAATTATTATCATAAAGCATCTCATATCTTTTGGAATAAAGAGAGAGAAAAATCAACAATATTGGCGAGTATTGTTTTTTTTGTCTACTCCATCACATTTTGTTAATAGAAATAAATTCCTTATGACTCAAACTTTAGGTATAAATAGTATTTCATTAGTACAATATGGACTAATAGTTCAGGAAGAGAAATGGGAGCTTCACCTTCAACACCGTCGTCGTCACCGCCGCCGCCGCCTCTGTCTCTGCCGTCGCCCCAGCCACAATCACAGCCGCTGCCACAGTCACAACCCAAGCCACAGTCACCGCAGTTACGGCCACAAACAGGGTCACAACCCCAGCCACAGTCGCAACCGAAGTTGCAGCCACAGCCAGGGTCACAACCCCAGCCACAATCACATGAACCAATCAGTAGGGAAACATGGTTGCTGCCTTTTCTAGGTGAGGCAAAATCCTCCACTAATAGCACAAAGGCAGTAGAAAATATTGCCACAGTTGTAAAACGCAATGAGACTCAATCCATGACGTCCCCATTGAAACCTTTAAAAGAACTAAATTTCCCACACAACTATGAACACATATTGAAGGATGCAGACTCACCAGTTGATAAATCTTCCAGGGAAAAGCTCTGTGATCAACTATATGCTGGGGTGTTCTTAGACAATAAAACCAAGGCAAGTTCATTATATCATTCAGTTTCAATTTTCTGAAATCCTTTTTTATTAATAAGGGAACTGAAAGCTATACATTAAGATGTTATTGTACAATTGGATTCACTGTAATGCATAGATAGCAATGTGGTAGTGCATATGGAAGAATATCTCGGGTTTGGTTTTGATCACAAGCTCGGTTAGAAACTTTTATCTATATTTGTAGTATATATTTTTACATTTAAGAGTTTATTGATTGAACAATTTTTAATGATTATCGTTGGGTGCAGAAATATTGGCTAGAAAAGAAGTCAAACAGCAACTGTTTCATGCTGTATGCAAGAGCACTCTCAATCACCTGGGCAGAAGATCAAAATTATTGGAAATGGGTACTGCAGAAAGAATCAAGGTATCACGAACGTTAAAAGTTTTTTTGTTAACTTAATCTAAATTAAACTTTGATGAATATTGTTCACCGGGTTAGATCTATGAAAGCCCACGTTATGTTTGATTTATATATATTGTAACTTAATTTTGATGAATATTGATCTTTTTTGTAACTTAATCTAAATTAATCTAATAAAGATAAAAAAAGATCAATGGTATCACATGCTTACAAATCAGAGTTGTTGATCTTTTTTGATCTAACGGATATCAGATAAGGTGTCAAAGGATTCTACCGCTATATGTATATATATACCAACCCTCGGTACCTTTTTGAGATGAGTAGGCTCCGGGTATTCTCATAAGTTTCAACTCTTTGAGTCAGTTATAAGACTAATTCATAGTTAAGGTTTAATCATAGTTAAAGCTCTTCGTCCCTCTCCAAATATATATTTGATGAGAATTGAATAAAGGTTCTCTCCACACTTATTCAGCACGTATTGCTAATTGAGTTACAGCCATTGGGTGGTTATGTTTGATTTTGCCTTTTCAACAACATACTATGTCTAGTTAAACTGAATCTTAATTATAATTTAAGGACATTGATCTTACACATAGTTCTAGTCCTAATTAGAGCAAGGTATATATGATGTTGCAGTGGCACAATGGCAGAGGTGGCTGAACTGAAAAGAGTATGTTGGCTAGAAGTGCATGGAAAATTTGACACTAGAAAGCTTTCACCAGGAATTCTATATGAAGTCTCATTTATTGTAATGTTGAAAGATGCAGCTCAAGGGTGGGAACTTCCAGTTAATGTTAGACTTTCCCTTCCTGGAGGAAAGAAACAGCAACACAAGGAAGCTTTAATTGACAAGTTAAGGATGCGTTGGATAGAGGTTCCTGTTGGTGAGTTTGTGGCATCTGAAAAAGATGTTGGTGAGATGGAGATCTCTATGTATGAATATGAAGGTGGTATGTGGAAGCAGGGGCTTGTCATCAAAGGGGTTGCCATCAAACCAAAAAACTAGGAAATAGATAACTACAAAGTATAAACTCTATCTATGATGTGTAGAGGAATCATATTCCCATGCATGGAGTAAAAAGCAAATTGCAATATTCATGTCAAAAGACGTATCAAAATGGAGAATTATAGTTTAGTATATGATCTAAAATTATAGAAGGCGATGCTGCAAATGTTATAATAATTATTACTTAAAGGTAATGTTAGTGTTACAATTCAAATATGGAATCATGACTATCTAATGTACTCATTAAATATTCTGTCAAGCTTGCTAACGCAACAATATATTTAACAATTATAACTTAAATTACAATGTATGTATAAAATATATCCAAGTTCATATTAACAACTTATTATTTAAACTTTTACCCACACAAACTAAGTGTCAAACTCATCTATAAATACTTTTTAATGCATATGGTTATTGAATAAAGGTGGCAAAGCGAATTTGACTCGTCAAATCAACCCATCTAATTTGGCCGATTAGATTATATTCTCTAATCCATCAACCCACACTGCTTAAGTGTAAGTTAAAATGAGTTGAATATGAATCGAGACGAGCTGACCCAACGGATTGTTTTTATATATATATATATATATATATAGATATATATATATATATATAAAAGGTTGACAGGCTAGTTTAGATAAAACATCTATTTATTTTTTTTCTAAAACATTTCATTCAATCTCCTTTTTTTGGCTATTTTTCTTAATTTTTCATTTTACGGGCTTGAACCGCTAATGGAGTGAATTGAAATTTTCACTCGCAAAACACAACGGCGTTAGAGGCAGAGCGAGTCAAATCGCCCCTATTGCCACCCAAACCGATTGCTATTAGTATTTCTAAGAATATTGTTTCTTTTATTATGAATTTGGTCCAATCTCAAATGTAAAACAAAAACATACAATAGTATAGGTCCAAATCCAATAGTACTTGGAACAAAAAAAGAAAAATGCACAGAAGAGAAACATACAAGGCATTACCAGTACAAGTATAGGCTAATAAATAGTAACTTTTTATATGTACTTTAGACAGCACGTCACTCTTTACAGAGATAAGAATGTCCGAAAGATGGTCATATCATACATAAAACGTGGAGGAATATGTCAGCATCGACATACGAATATCCTTATATACAAGAGATGCCAACCACAGTCAACAATATAGACAGTATTCCCTGCACTCAGACTTCCAACAGAAAATAATTCATGAGGCATCAACTGAAACAGCCAAGGCATTCAGTTGAACACGCTGTTTACCCTCGTTACCAGGGTGAACACTGATGGTAGCATAAGCCTCAGAGTAAGATTGATTGGCTCCTTCATTCGAAACTGATATGGAGCTCAAGGACATTTTATCAGCAGTATTGCTTTGGTCATCTTGGTCTCTGGAAATAATCTCCCATTCCTCTTTAAGGGATGCTACTTCTAGACCCTTCTCTTTATGCCTCTCCATTTCAAAAGCAGTAGGTAGAATCACATAATCATTCAGGGGATTGTAAAAGGGATCTGGATCTCCAGCCTTCAGCCAGTGCTTAACAAGCCGGAATACATGAGCCTCACGAAGGATACCTCGGTGTTCACCTGGGACTCCAACCCTTGCCTCTGCATTGAGTCCATCAGCCTGCATTTGGTATATAAAGATAAAAAAGCTTAAACACAAGGCAGTATTATATGATGATTATGGATTCAATCGAGGTCAGAGAGAAAAAATTGCTGGCGGAAAATGATGCGGGAGAGGAATCATTTAGGATTCGGATCCTCCTCTCTTTTTTGCATTTCTTTCCTTCACAAATTTGTAAGAAGTTGCCGTGAACTTCCCTTGGCTAAGCTTCAAAGCATATGGTCAATTTCAAACCTTCTACAATTGCTGTGAACCCCCCTTGGCCAAGATTTTCAAAGCAATAGGTCAATTTCAAGTCCGTTCCATTATAACTTGGTTACTTTATAGTAAACTAAGTCTAAAATAGTTTGAATGTAACCATACCATCATTTTTTATAGTAACATATAGTTTAGTTTAGTTCAAACGTGACCATATAGTTGTATTCCAACAATGGATATCTTAATAAATATCCAGGACCTAACTAAGCAATTAATAAAATTTTCAGGGACCTAAACAGAAATTTTGCACTTGTCTGAGGACTTGTAATTTAAGTCAATTAGTGCTTTCCCACCAAGTTGGTCACTTGTATCCCCTATGGCATGATTCTAATCTGTTTTATCTAGAAACACCACATTAATATAGTGAGAAATGAGAATATAATTCCCAGTGACAACAACACAATTTCAAAATCACATGGTGAATCTAGCTGTACTAAGCTACAGAAAAATATCTCTATCACATCATGAGCACTTGCAGCAAATATAGTTACAAGATAACTAAGCATCAGTAAGCAAACATCAGCAATAAAAGTTACTGCCTTTACTTTTATTTCTCTTATCCTCTTTTAGCATCTTAGCTAAAAGCAGTAAGGTAAAATCAGCAATAAAGAATTGCTTCCTTTACTGCTTATTCTTTCTCATCTTCTTAAACTTTATAACTACGAAGAGTAAGCTTAAGCAAATAAGTAGCAGTGGAAGTATGGCCCAGTGGTGGCAGTGGCAGTCTTGTAATGGCTAGTAATGTACTGATAATAATCACAAGGGTTTATAGTAATCATAACAAAGGAACTTGGGGCAGTGGTAATATCATATGACTGTGTTCTTAACCTCCCATATGGATATCAGATATTCAACTTTGAGGTACTTTCCACCACATCAGTATATCCTAGTTTACAAAGTTGTGCCGGAGATAAGTAGGGAAAATTTCATAAAACACCTTTCAACTTTTCTAAACGTCCATGTTCTGAAAACTAAACCAAACCGTCCAATTGAACCAGTTAGACCATAAAACAGCTATGTCTCTGGTTCAAACATTATGCATTTCCCACAAAATTTAACTAATGAACCAATGGAACCATGACCAAGAGGTCTTGCTGATTCAATATCATGTTCGATTTTTAAAACATTGATCCACGAGCAATTTAACCTGAAAGGATTAGTGCAATTTACCCCATAATCTAATTGAATGTATAATTTATGGGGATAAAATGCCCCAATAAAATTTTTATGGTGGTAAATTACTAAATTTGTGGGAGAGGGTTATTGAACATCGCTTGAGGAGAGATACCAAGGTTTCTGTAAATCAATTTGGATTTATGCCAGGAAGATGTACCATGGAAGCCATTTTCTTGATGCGACAACTAATGGAAAGATACCGAGAAAAGAAAAAGGACTTGCATATGGTGTTCATAGACCTTGAGAAAGCATACGATAGGGTTCCAAGGAAAGTTTTATGGTGGGTTCTGGAGAAGAAAAAGGTTCCATTAAAGTATGTAAAGGCAATCAAGGATATGTATGATGGGGCTACTACATGTGTAAAAGCTTGTAACGGATCATCAAGTTATTTTCCTATCACGGTAGGTGTACACCAAGGGTCGGCTCTAAGTCCTTACCTCTTTGCCTTAGTTATGGATGAACTAACAAAAGATATTCAAGAGGAAGTGCCATGGTGTATGCTTTTTGCAGACGATATTGTGCTTATTGATGAGAGCAAGGAGGGTGTTAATAGAAAACTTGAATTGTGGAGAAGCACATTGGAATCCAAAGGATTCACATTAAGTCGAAGCAAGACTGAGTATCTGAAGTGTGAGTTTTCTCTGGTACGAGATGGGGACCAAGAGCCCGTGCATCTAAATGGTCAAGAGGTACCCAAAAAAGATGCTTTTAAATACTTGGGCTCCATTTTACAAAAAGGTGGAGAGATTGATGAGGATGTAAATCACAGAATCAGAGCAGGGTGGATGAAATGGCGCAGTGCATCTGCATTTTTGTGTGACCGCAAAATCCCCCTGAAGTTAAAAGGAAAATTCTATAAAACGGCAGTAAGACCGGCAATGCTATATGGAGCGGAATGCTGGCCAGCACATAGGCAACATGAGCATAAGATGGGAGTAGCAGATATGAGGATGTTAAGGTGGATGTGTGGTTACACAAGGATGGATAAGATAAGAAATGAAGATATTCGACGAAAGGTCGGAGTAGTACCGGTAGCCGAGAAGATGAGAGAACATAAATTGAGGTGGTTTGGGCACGTGATGAGAAGACCCATGGATGCTCCTGTAAGAACAGAAGTTTGTTACCAAGAGCTAAACACAAAAAGAGGCAGAGGTAGGCCGAAGCTTACTTGGGGGAAGGTGGTAAAACAAGATTTAATGGAGTGGGATATAGATTGGCGGACAGTATGTCTTAGAACAGAATGGAGAAAAGCTATAAGTATGGTGGAGGGTTAGACCCGTTGTTATTCTTATGTTCCAGATGGTCCCTTTTTAGTCCTTTTCCCCTTCATTTCCCCCCCCCCCCCCCTTCTTCTTGTCCCTTTCTTTTTTACTTTTATTTATTTATATATACATATATTTTTATTTTATTTTATTTTATTTTATTTTATTTTATCTTATTTTATTTTATTTTTTTTATTTTATTTTATTTGTTTATTTTTATTTATTTATTTATTTTTTGCTTTTTTTACTTTTTTTTCAACCGTTTTGTATTTTTCATGTGGGTTCATCTACCACCGACCCCAATTAATTTGGGATAAAGGTGATGTTGATGTTGGTAAATTACTAAATTGTGTTAATTGAAACTCGAGGTAAATTACATAGAGTAAATTGAATAAGGTTTTTTGAAATTTAACCAATAAGTAATAACAGGTTTAATCAAACTATATTTTGGAACTTTCTCCAAGTTAAAGCTAGCTAGTAATCAAAACATACTTGACTGGTACAATACCAAGAAAAAATTTATACATAAGAGATATGAAAAGGCCTTTAATGGCATATTTAGATTCAACAAATCAGCAATTGCAAAAAGATTATGCACAGGAAAGTTAGCAAACCTTAGCTGACTGCATTGTGTAAATTGAACAAGGATTTCTGAAATTTTCCCAATAAGCAATAACAGATATAATCAAACTATACTTTGGAACTTTCTCCCATTAACTACTAGCTAGTAATCAAAACATACTTAATTGGTACCATACCAAGTAAAATTGTACATAAGAGATGTGAAAAGGCCTTTCCTGGCATATTTAGATTCAACAAATCAGCAATTGCAAAAAAGATTATGCATAGGAAAGTTAGCAAACCTTAGCTGACTCCATTGGAACTGTTCCATCACCATCAACACATATGCATTTGGGCTGAATATTTAAAATAAAAAAAAAGTTAGCCTTGGCAACCAAATGTAAAAACAATGACTTGAGGGGGGGAAATGTTTGCACAGTTTTAACATGATGTACATTCAAATAAAATCTGTACTTCAATTAGATCATACCAGAGAGAAGACACAAAGTGTGTGACAATAAAAGAATTAAATGTTTTGAAATAATTATATGAAGTGGAAGAAGAAAAATGGAAAGGAAAGAGAAAATGGAATGCACATAACTAAAAGAAATGTTTTTTTAGTGATATAAAGTTTAGGCAGAGGATAGGTTGCGACATTCCAGTCAGGACATGCCACAGGTCTTGAGGGCCTAAAAAGAATTATTTAAATTTATTAATTACATTAATAAACACAAAGCTTTTTTAACTAATTCAACAAATACTAAAATAAATAAGGGAAAGCAGAAAACGCAGATGAAAAACTGCACAGATTTCTCTTAATTGTATTGCAAATAGGGGGATCAATATTGCATGCACCAAAGCATATAGCCTTTGCTACCCTTTGATATGTATCGCGTCTCAAGAAACATATATATTTGGCACAATTACAAATGTAATGACCTGGAAATGACGTAACTGTTGCAGATCTGAGACAGGCTTGTTCTCACTTCCATAGCTGCAGAATTATAGTTATGTAAAGTGAAGGTCACATATTTTCAAAAGAATTATATATACCTACATGCACGCACTGGACCATTCTTAATACAATTTATAAATTCCTTTTTTGGGGTAACTATGGTATCATCCAAATAAATGATAGAGGCATTACCAAACACTATGAGCTGTCTCAAGATTGGTCCCATAAATATTGTAAAATTTGACATTCGAGGGAAGTTTGGCAGAAGACAGAATCTCCCATGTTTTATTTGCCCATTTTAAGATCTCCAAGTTGAAGGGCAGGGGAATGTTCTCACCATCATAATTAACCTGGATCACAGATAAATATCACCAATCTAATTAAGCCAAGCACCAGTAAACATCCTAGATGACTAGATGTTGAACTGCAACATGTGTACTTCTCCAATGTATTAATGTATTCTAAAGTATATGAAAGTAAGAACTCATCAACTCCCCCCTCCCCCCAAAAAAAACGAAAAGAAAAAAAAAGATTTGCTTAAACATGAGAGATCCAATTGACAAGTTCAACTCTAGACATGGAAAAGCCAAAGATCCCTCCTATTATGATTGCTTATTTTCCAAATTATTCATTATTTATTTAATTTAATTGTCAAAAGCGAAGATTGTAAAATGCTCCGGAAACCAAATTTTAAACTATGATGCACCCAATTTCATGGAAATGTTGGTGACACTTAAATTTAACTAAGTTCAACTAATCTGCATGCCGAGCAAGATGGAGCTGGTAACTCACTGTGTTATTTACAAGAGCTTGCTTCAAAACATCAATGCTATCACATGGCGGATATGACTCCAGAATAATATGAGATTTCCCATCAGGATCTTGCTTATCACGCCATAATTCCAGACAAGGAATGTGTTGCCAATGAAAATTAGGACAACCCATCAGTTCGTAGATTGACGGACATTCAATTAGCTGTGACATTGGAACAAGCTTCAATAAATAACTACTCTACAATATCAAAATGAAAATAAAAAACAAAATGAATCATAACAAGATGCATGTATACAAAGCAATCCACATGCAAGATTATGATTAAATACTCTTGTGCACAGGGAAGCAGCACAAACAATAGAAATAGAGAACACAGCATCCCACAATAAATACCCTATAAAACACAAATCACGTAGTCAATATCAAGCGATCATGCATTAAAGTGCAATCCAATTATCAAATAACTTGCACAAAGTTATGAATAATAACAACCAAAACTATTTTTCGTGTCTTTTTCATTTGTATTGTGTCACTGCATACTTACTTTCTTTTGATATAGACTTAGATCTCAAAAGCATGATTGTGAATTGTGATGATGATTAAGCATTTTAGCTTTTTTTCTTCATACGGCTTAATAAACACTATTTCACAGGTACTGTCAGTTGCAAGCACAGAAATGTAAATATAAATTGCTGAGACAGTCACAAAATAAACTTAACATTGTTAAAATGCATACAAGTAAATTACTCAGCTCCCTCAAATTTCTGTATCCAACAGACAAAACGTCATAAATAATAATGATATACCAAATGGAATTAGGCAGAGTGAATCTCAGAAGTCTCCAAAGTAGGGGTTGTTTGCACTAATAAATGAACTCAAACACAAATTCAGAAAACAAAAATAACTGATCTGTACCAACTGGTGCATGCTCCATTTGGAAATATAAAGATTTTGCTCCCATCCCTCCACAAATGACATTCCATTTAAAAAGGTAGAATTGATACATCCAGGTGCACCTGCAGAACAATGTATAGCTAAACTATGATGCACTTCCAATGGCAAAAGAGATTTAAGAAACCTCTAACTAGCTGGAACAATATAGATGATATACAAACCAATACATAAAGACAACGAAAGGAATCTATCAAATTATATATTGTTTAAAGTTCAAGTAAAATTTAGCCCAACATCAAGTGACATGACAGTAGGACCATAGATCCAATAACTTTCAGCATTGTTTTTTGCTTAATCTGTTTCACCAAGACATGCACCAAACTATACATGCCAACATCTCTTTTTCTTTCTTATTTTTCCTTGATAATAAAAAATTATCCTTTCATGCACACTGTTTGTGCGTCAACTATTTTAGCCTATAAATAAAACAAGATATTGCCTTCTTCAAATAGATTAATTAAGGAAAATAAATTACAGCCCCAGCTTGAAAAATTGTATTGAAATGCTAGAAGAATGCTATGACCCATAAATGATATTAGGGGCTCAACAGAAAGTCTTCCATAGGCAACGATGCAGAGAATAATATTCCTTTATGCTGACTCATCATGGAGGGAAAGTTTGTTAGGGAACTCAGTTAAATAGGGAGCAGCATGGAAGGAGTGGGGGATCTTTTGGGCATTTGGGACTTGGGAACCTTTCGGTGAAATTGGGAGAGATCAGGGGCTCTCGAACTCCTCTGAACCTATCTTTACTTTCTTACTTTGTAATCTTTACTTTCTCTGTTTTGTAATATGTTCTGAGATCTGTAATTAGGAAGAGTCATATTGTTTGGTGTTTACTTGTAATTGATAACTGTTGAATTGGAGAATTATATACAAATTGTCTCTGTCTTTGGGTTTACTCTTGAAATTGCAGGTTCTGATCGTTACAATTGGTATCAGAGCACTTTTTCCCTGGGAGTGTTGAATGGTTTTGACCAAAACTATGGATCATCGAATGGAAGCAATTGAGGCAAGGATGGGTCACGAAAGTCAGATCTATGCTTTGGGTCATATTTCTATCTTCAAGTACAGGGTGGGAGCAAAGCCTTATGGCAAAAATCCATCAACTTAATGGCGAACAAATCCATCAACTTAATGGCGAACTGCATGATCGTGATGAGGACAAAAAGAGCATTGGTCATGAAAATTCTGGTGATGATAACAAAGTGGTTTATGTTCCAGTACTGCAAGTTATTATTCAAACACATCCCTGCTTCATGATTTCTGCAAGGGTTGTTTGTATTCTGGTTTATTTGTATAATTGTATTCTGGTTTCAACCATGAGAGATCAATGCGTTGAATATTCTTCAAGGGTGGGAAAGCAAAGATGTCATTAGCACAGAGGGACAATGGGATCCAGGGGGAGTTTATATTTCTGCAAGCATATGTTGGCCTTTACAGTTCACACAGTGGGATCCCGATGGCGGTTATGCTGCTTCATGCATCAATTGGCCCTTATATTTCAAACAGTGGGATCCTGGGGGGAGGACACTAGTTTACTGACCATCACCTTGAGGACAAGGTGAATCTTTTGGAGGGGAGTATTGTTACGACCCATAACTGATATTAGGGGCTCAACAGTAAGTCTTCCATAGGCAGCGATGCAGAGAATAATATTCCTTTATGCTGACTCATCATGGAGGGAAAGTTTGTTCGGGAATTCAGTTAAATAGGGAGCAACGTGGAAGGAGTGGGGGATCTTTTGGGCATTTGGGACTTGGGCACCTTTGGGTGAAATTGGGAAAAATCAAGGACTCTCCAACTCCTCTGAACCTATCTTTACTTTCTTATTTCTTAATCTTTACTTTCTCTGTTTTGTAATCTGTTCTGAGATCTGTAATTAGGAAGAGTCATATTGTTTGGTGTTTACTTGTAATTGATAACTGTTGAATTGAAGAATTATATACAAATTGTCTCTGTCTTTGGGTTTATTCTTGAACTTGCTGGTTCAGATCATTACAAAGAATGTCCAATATCCATAATTTATACTTCTGAGAAATATAGAATAGAATTACTTACCCTGGAACGGCGCAGCAATCGCAATCCAATTCTTAACATATTTCTCAAAAACCTGAAAATGACAAGAACAACATTGTAGACTTCTCATTTCAACAATAAATAAATAAATTCCAAGATTTAAGTGTATAAACCATAAATTAACAGATATAAATGATCAGGTTATAAGAAACCATGAAATAAATTTAAAGCTTAATGGGTGTTTTACATCGCTTTGCAGGCTCATGAAACATTTCACCAAAAGACCGCCCATAGAATGACTTATGATGTTTATCTTTTTCCCTCCTGCAGCATTATACACTGATTCTAATTTTGCAGCCAACTGATCCAATATTTCCTGCAACCTAAATGAAAATAAATAGAATTGTTAAGAGAAAATGCTTTCATTTGTTAAAAGAGAAAATACTTGTTAGAGACATTATCCTAAGGACTGTGGGAAATCATAACCACGGGGAAACCAACACCCAAAAGATACAATTCACATTAAATTCATATGCAAAATTACAGTCTACTTCAGGCTATGCTTGTTTGTCGGATAATAGCTTCCTAAGAAAACTGCTACTTTTGTAAAGATTCACAAATATTAAAAATACTAAGTAAAAATACAACGAAGTACCAATTCTATTATAAAAATGAGACAATCAATTTTTTCATGCAGAAACATTAAATATAATATAAAGAACCAATTCAACCCAAAAGCTTAAGCTAAAAGGTGAAGGCACATTAATGGTCTTATATTTTATATCATATTTCTCTAACACGCCCCTTCACACAAGAGCTCATTGGACTTGAAATGGTACAATGCATAAGGCTCATACCTGTGTTAAGAAACTCCACAATATTAAATTATTATTTTTAATAGAATGAAAGATTAAGCTATTAAGTGAACTTTTATATCTCTCTAACATATAATAATCTCATAACATGTACAGATTTGTAGAGCGGAGTATTAGAGATTTTTTAATTTCATTATTTTGGATTAGTGATGAGAAGAGAATTGACTCCTTTCTCATTTCTCAAGTTTAATCGAATCACTATCACTAAACTGCTTCCAGTTTCAAATCAACTAGTTACCTGTTGCTTTGGCGAAAATCATATCCAAAGCCAAAAAGTGTTTTTCCCTCTTCAAACCCCCATTTACGCATTTCAATGATCATGTCATGGAAATAATACACAGAATCACATCCAATTACCTGCATCACAAGATTTATATAGGATTCAAGAATCAATTGTGTATCCATCTACATTACAGTTAACACAACTCAGTTTAAGATAGGCATACCATGTCAGGGTCCAAATTATCAATTGCATAGAGTCCATGCCTATCGTCGGGGACCATAATTCTGGTATTTTCATCCATGGATACGGTTTTCCCTGATTTAAAAAAATATTATTAGAGATGTTAAGCTTACCAAAATCAAAGTTTCTTGCCGCACAGTCTTCAGCTTAAAACAACTCAAAATGATTACAGTAAGGAAAGAAATAAACTGAGCAGGTATGAAATCTGAAGTACAGCATTCAATCACAAGGCTACTTCATTGTCTCACTGCAATCATTTGCAAATATCAAAGTAAAGGGAGAATCATTTGCAAATATCAAAGTAAAGGGAGAAAAAAATAAATTTATCTAAAAATTTCTATTATATATATATATATATATATATATATATATATATATATATATGAATTTGACGATTATAATTAATTAAAAATTAGTAATTAATTAATAAGAGTGACCCAATAAAACAATAGATTCATGAAAATCAACAGTTAAAATATTACATGAGACTGATATTTTTATACCGGTTTAAGTTCATCCTACCCAATATATATATATATATATATTAATCAAGTTTCCTTTTCTTTAATCCGAAAATAACTTCAGAACATTGATAGTATCAACGAAAAAACTGTTACATTAGCAACTTGTATAACGAAATAGCATCAGTTTAACGTTTTTATTTTTTATTTTACTTTTCTAACAAAAATTAGTTTTACCAGTAGAAGGATCGTAACGTGACCAAAGCTTGGTCTTCAACTTGTACTCGGCGGAAAGGAAGCGAACCCAAACCCGTTCCTGGCTACCGTCGCTATCGTTTACGGCGTTCAACATGGAGCCACCGATACCAGGCACCAATAAGACAGGGTCGAGATTAGGGTTCAGGTAGGGCTGGGCCTGGGGCTTCTTCATCAGATTCAACCATAGCTTGATCGTCATGGCGAGATGAAAACCCTAACCACAATCAATTGGTCAGCTCCGGAGTTTCCAGAATGGATGATTAACTGGAAACCCAAATTGGGAATTAGGGTTTTCGATTTGGGGAATGCGCTGTTCCGTACGGAGGTGAAAGAAGTCCCGTTGAGTGTGCCAGCACTGCTTTCTTTACACGGAAGATTGGAAGAAAATAGAGGATAGCGTAGAATGAAATAGCTTATACAATTGACAGTTGTTAGGTAGAGACTTTTATAGCATTATCAATATAGCTCCTCTGAATAATTATTATATGTTCACTTTCTCTATTTTACGTTTTCTATTTTTAATACGTATGTGTACTGTGAATTTGTGATAAAGCAAATAGTTATTAGAAGTCCAGTCAATTAAATGTTTAGTTTAATTTAAAATTAGTAATTTAACTCTTTAATGCGCATTGATTCCTTAATTTTGTACATATACGAGATAAAGTTTTGGTTAGCTTAGACAATTAAATATGTCTGGACAAAGAGCAGGATTATATGGATAAATTTTTTTTTAATAAATTTATAAATTATATTATATCTGACCGATAATACTCTACTCAAAAATATTTTACAGATCAAACATAATGTAATTTATAAAAATTTATAAAAAAAATTGTAAATATAAACTTCTTCAAATAAATATATGACAAATATACGTTATTTTATTACCTTGGATTCATTCGTAATTGGATCTCTCTGACCGTTGACTTATCACATCAAAGAAATAGTAAGAATATGGTTAAAATGAAGAAAACATGGCTGTCAATTCGTTTCTCATTCTGGGCTGTGCATATTCTGAAGGCCTGCTTATCAAATGTACAACTCATGAACCTATCAATCTATCATTATAAGCTTGACTTAATTACGTTTGTGGTTCCTCTATTAGTGTATTGGTTTTCGTTTCTCAATGATTTTAAACAATAGTTAAAGGGTTATATTAGATAAACAATTTTTTTACACATACAAACTGAAGTTGAGTCTCACATTTATTTATTTTCTCTTCTCTTACGTAATATAAGATAAATATAACTCATAATTAAAACTTTAAATTTTGTGTAATTGAAAAAAATAAGTGTCTTCGTCACCCTGTCATTCAATTACTAATAAAACTTAGTCACATAATCAACTACATACATAATATGACATTTTACAAGTCCATATTTTAATGAATCAATCGGTGATTTTAATCTATTTAAATTTTTTAGTACAAATAGATTAATAGAAAATGATATAATTAAATATTAAAGTCACCAACCGATCTGTTAAGAAGTTTTATTTAATAAAATAATATATTTGAACAGAAATGATATATTCATAAACTTTTTTTTCAAATTCTTATAAATTATACTATGTATTAGAGGTAGTATATTGTGTGCTAAATGTACTACCCCTAATACATAGCATAATTTGTAAATAAAAAATTTGTAAATATAATTTTCTCTATTTGGATACTTCATTAATTCTGCTAGTTATCACTAATGGAGGGACCTAGTTTTTAAAATTAGAAAAATTGAGAGATTTGACCATTGCTGTTATTGGTAGGTGTGTCAATGGGTCGGGTTCGGGCTGGACTTTGGTCTTGAAAGGTTAAGTTTACTTGTTATGAATATAATTATCAACATGTGATTTAACTTGTTTACAAAAAAATAAAAGTGTGGCTTAACCTGTTAAAAAAAATAAGACAACAAAAATTTATTCAAACATAATATACGATCAAAAGCACTAATAATTTCATAAAGATTCATAAATTCAATGTACATCCAAATAGCATAATATAAAATAAAATTATTCAAAAAGTATACTTAACCAATAAACTAAAGTAGTACAAAGTTATTTACCAAAAAAAAAAAAAGTAGTACAAAGTTATGCATATCCAAAAGAACAAAAGACTACAAAATCTATATAGACAATTTAATATACTCATATCAACAATTTTAATATATTGGGTTGTTGCCTCCTCCTACATAAAACAAAAAAAAAGTCAAATTATTTTTTACATTCAATTATAATATCATAAGATATAAATAAGTAATCTAAAAAATAAAGACTTAATGCAATAAAGACTACAACAGATATCCCTGTCTGTTGAAAGCCTCCTAATGAGAGTTGGATTAAATTGAATACTGATGGTGCTTGTAGAAGTTCCTCTGGTTTGGCTGCTTGGGGTGGTATTGCTAGAAATCATATGGGACATTGGCTAAAAGGGTTCTCTTACAGAGTAGGAGTTTGTAATTCTCTTAATACTGAACTCTGGGGTATTCTCAAAGGGTTAGAGATGCTTGGGAGGAAGGCTGGAAAAATCTTATTGTTGAATCTGATTCAACATCTGCAATCACCATTTTGTTTACTTAGTCCACACATACAGAGAAGGCAACTGCTGTGTTGACTGGCGGGCAAATTATGCTCTGGATAATCCTAGTGCTGCAGATATGTCTATTTTTTGTTATCCTCATGCTCAGATTCATTCTGTTTTTATTGCTGATTTAGCTTCTGCTTGTAGGGTCCGTACAATGACTATTGTGTAGTCTCTTGCTGGTTATTTGATTCCAGCTTACAAAAAAAAAAAGTAATCTAAAAAATATAAAATAAAAATAAAGATTAGTATGCTCCAAGGCCAAGTTTTTGATTTGGAACGTATGACCTTCTTATTAAATGAGTTTTTACACAAGCTCAAATTCATATCTAACAATCAAAATAGACACGTTAAGTCAGGATAGGCCAAAACACGCCCTTTTAACACCCCTAGTTATTGTGGAATAAATCTTTGGTACTACTGTTGTACCAAAGATTCAGTGCATCCCACCAATGAAAATATTACATGTCAGCTAAAATACTTTTTTTCTGTCAAATTTTTTCTCTCTCATCTAATGTGTAAGGCTCTCATTTATGAAATGCACTGAATTTAAGTACAGCAGTAATACCAAAGATTTATTCGTGAACCTTAATCGCACATCAACCAAAATAAAAGGACCACATGCACTTAATCCCAGAAGATTGAATTCATCGGAGTTTTACAAGCCTACTTTATTTATTTGCACTTGAATAATTACAAATTTATTTTTGTCATGAATAATTTTCAAAGGGTGGATGTCCAAGACTCATGGTAATTACACAATTGCAAGAATCTTATAAAAGATTCGCTATTGTGAATGTTACACACACAATTCTTCTTTAAATCCCATAGTGGTGGTCTTAGTTTGATATAGTTTTGGCCTTATAAATATAAAGTATAAGACACTTGAAGATGATACACAAGAACAACGAAACCATTCTTTGCTCCCTATTTTTTTCTCTCTCTATCTCATGAATTGATTATGCTTATTTACAACACATTATAAGCACAAGCGAAGGCTTAATCAACTTGAAGATTATACTAAAAGAGTGATATCTTCTATTATCATTTTTTTATGTTAATTTAACTCATGTCTCATCTTTTTTTTCTTACGACTTCTTTCATATTGTTTTCATTTTTTATGTTTCTTCCTTGAAGATATTAGCGTCAAATATTATTGAAGAAATTATTTTGTAGATATGAAAACATCCATGTAAGATTGCATAAAATTAATGCTTTTCCTTAATTATTATTTATATGAATAATTGTTACATAATTCCTAAAGAAATATACATTTAGATCATAAATATATAAAAAAAATACCATCGAGACTTTTTTTTTTTTTAAAAAAAAAAGACATAGAAAGACAAGACAATTATGTGTGCGTTTGGGGTTAGATATATCCAGTTTCAGACTCTGAGTTGCGCCTAAAGCCTTATTATATACGGAAGAAACAAAATGAAGCTTGCTTCCCTGATTTCTGGTTGCAGTGATAACACACGTCTTCTCTCTATTAAGGTACAAACAATTCTTGTCTCTCTCTCGCTTTTCCTTTGTAATTATGAATTATGATGCTACCTCAGTCTCAAAACAATAATTAGTTTGAACACACAAAAAAAAAACAAAAACAAATGAGAGTGACAAGGAGAAGGGTTTGTTATTTGATTAAAGGATACTGTGAAAAGGGAAGATAAGCTCCTCATTCCTAGAAATTCAAAAGAAGTGAAGTTTTTCAAGAGCTTGGCTCCTCCTCTTGTGACTGCGTTTCTGGTCTTATCTCCATTTTCCACCACTCCAGGTGAGGTGACCATCAATCACATTATCTCTCTCTCTCTCTCTTTCTTTGTAAAATACTAAAATATCCCTGCTTTTGATTCAAACTGCATTACTGCCCTCACGTCACTGACACTTGCTACAACAGTAACACCACTAATATCAAAGAGATTTATTTTTTTGGATTAAATCTTTGATATTACTGTTGTAACTAGATTCAGTACATCTCATCAATGATAGCATTACACATCAAAGGAGAGAGAAAAAATTTGACAGAAAAAAAAGAATTTTAGCTGACATGTAATATTTTCATTGGTGAGATACACTGAATCTTTGATATAGGACGAAAGATTTATTCCTTCTTCTGTAATGTTAGTGAAAACTGAAAATTGAAAACTATTTTCGTAGAGAATATTTTCAATTGTAAACCATATATTCTCAATATTTGATTGTACCAAAAATAATTTAAATTTTCATAAAATTTGAGCAAATTAATATAATCATATGAGAGACTTTGGTACATTATATTAGAAAATCCCAGTTGAAGAGGAGAAATGCATGGGTGATAAATGGTTAATGAACAGGTACTCAAGGGTTTAATAATAGATGAGATCTCTATATGCAGGAATCAGATTAATTGTTTTTCTTGTTAGTGATAACACGTGTGGCGTAGAGCCATAGACTGAAAATTTATGGTGTCTAAGGCTTGCTGAAGTCATTATTTTATTTGTGTAGACCAATTGGGTAAAAGCTGTTTTTAATGTCATTGGAGCAACTTTGTTGTTTCCTCTGCTTTATCTTGTTTCACTTATCTCAAATGTAAAGAGGAAGAAAGTTTGCTACAAAAGAACTAGCACTTCTGGACTTGTCAGCTACTCTAAACTTTGGGAGAGGATCCGTTTACAAATTTTTTTTTGCAATTACACTAATATAGGACCGGTCGTATACTGTGTGATTAATGTAGGACCGGTCCTACATAGTGTAGTTTGTAAGAGTTTGTAAACAAAAAAGTTTGTAAATATAACCTGCACTTCTAAACTCAACCTTTATAAAGAAATATGTAGTTCATTTTTCTTAGCTTCTTCTGTTCTACAGCTTCAATTGGCCAAACCATAGATATTCACAGAGGAGCCTCATTGTTTAGTCAAACTTGTATTGGATGTCACGATGCAGGTGGAAACATAATACAACCAGTAAGCATCCCCCTTAGGAATAATGACATTTTTTAACGTCATTGCAAACCCAAATTAATTTCTTCTTTGTTCCTTAATCTTTTCCATTTCTTTTTTCCCTTTCAGGGGTCAACACTATATACAAAGGATTTACAGAGGTAACTGACGAAAACCTGAGGACCCTCATGATGTGAATTAAAATATGTTGGAGATAGAAAGCACTGAGATTTTTAGAGGACACACTTCAAATTGAAGTTGAAACTTCAGGGCTTGTTTTCTTTCGGTTATGAAAATAATATGTCAGCTATAGGGAAGGTTATATTTGTAAACTTTTTGTTTACAAACTCTTATAAACTACACTATGTCTGACCGGTAATACACTCTTGAGTAGAGTATTACTGGTTAGGCATAGTGTAGTTTGTAAGTTTGTAAAAAAAAAAATCGTAAACGGATCCTTCCCCGTGAGCTATTTCATAAGCAAATTGCTATGGACTAAATTGATGGCATCAAAAAATATTTCTTCCTTGTAAATTGCTTGCTTAGCAGGTTTTTAGGAATATAACAGATGTGAATTTAAAATTCAAAATTCGTTGGCCTCTTGCAAAAGTTGTAGAAAACTTCTGAGTCTGTTTTTTTGTTAAATATCTTGAAATAATCCAAATGTTGCTCTACAGAAATGGAGTTGATACAGAAGAAGAAATCTACCGTGTCACATACTATGGCAAAGGAAGAATGCCAGTAAGTTATCTTGTGCAGATTTAAGGATGACCTCTTTATATATTTAAATGGATACGTAGGAAGAGGGAAATAGGAAAACCCATCAGAACATTATATATATTGTGCTAATTTGCTCGACCTGATGCCTTAATGTTTTGTTCTTCATCATTCATAGTTTATGTTTGCTGGTTTAAATTTTCAAGAGATTCTACTTGGTCGAAGAATGTCTTATAGTTCCATGCAGGGCTTTGGTAAAGAGTGCATGCCACGGGGTCAATGCACATTTGGAGCTCGTTTGGAAGATGAAGAGATCAAGATATTGGCCGAGTTTGTCAAGTTACAGGCTGATCAAGGGTGGCCAAGCATAGAAACTGGAGAAAAATGATTTAGCTATTAGCTTTTATTCCATCTTTTCATAATAAATAGGTATGCAACGATTGGTTTACAGTTATTTTGAGCTTATGCAGTTATTTTGTACCCAGACATGATATATGGTTGAAATTTTGACTTTATTTATATAGATTTAGGTAGGTTTTGGGTTTGGATTCTTCTAAAATTACCAAAAATTGATGCTAAAGCCGTACCTACAATGAGGTATACTTCTACGGGTACTTTGTAAATCTTTATGGAACAGATCGAGTTATTCTTTTGCATACTATGTTAATATTAAATGGATCAGAATTTGCCCCATGCTCAAGCCATTAAGTGAAGAATTAGTAAGAGTGCAAACCTATGTAGATTTCGACAAATCATTAAAGCATTAATTCAATGCTCGGGCGGTGAATAGATTTGAAAAATTTAGAGCTAGAATACAGTCAGTATATTGCACCAAGGTCGAATAATTTACTAGGTTCTCAAATACTTGTTGTTCTGATTTCTGAAGTCTAGATATTTGGAATTGAAAAATGGTAACTGTTGGAGTAACATTTTCTATGTCAGCAGGATTTTGTTTTAACCAATTTCCAGAATTTTCTGTGGGAACAGATCAACAAAATTAGACAGATAAATAGGCCAATGAGATTTAGCATTTTGATAAAGGCTTATCAAGTATGTGTGAGTGAAGTGTAAGACAGAATAAAATTGAGTGTTTCCAGCCATTAGTTTCCTTCTCTTTATCTTTTTCTCTTTCCAAATAGACATGAACAAGTGACACACATAATGCACATAAATGCTAACATTATGTTATCCATTTAGGTTGACCCAAAGGATAATATCAGAGCCATGGCATCTACCAATAGCAATTTTACAGCATTTCAAGTAATTTCTATTGCACACTGAATGAGAAGAAACGTCAAAGACATAAAAGACTTTTGAGTAATGGAGAAAATATCAAAAAAATGAAGAATTTCTCACCGTTACCCCAAGTTGGAATTTAAAGGGGAGGAGTTGTTTTTTGTTTAGATGTTACATTTTGCCTTTTACGCCCATCTAAACTTATAGCCTTGCTGAATTTTCTTGTTTGCATTACATTTGCACATGAAAACTATCAAATCTTATTGTATTAAAGTGTTGACATCCTTACTATAATTTTCCAGCATCTTTGCATAAATGTTTTCTTGAAATCAATATTCCTTTTCTTTTTTTTTCATAAAGACACAGTATGCATACTTTCTACGTGTTTACTTTGACTTTATATTGTTGAAAAAAATAAGTTGAACTTCATACTGTGGAAAGCATACATAAAACAAAAAAGTATTTTAAATTTAATAAAGTATTTCTATTCTCACAAATTTTACATTCTAATTCATACACTTTATAAGCCATGACCAAATTTTAAGATTACTTTTTCTTTTAAAAAAATTGAGAAGCATGGAAAGAAATTGTTCATGTGTAGGACTAGGGCCGGCAAAACAAGCTTGGTTCGGCTCGGCGGGACGGACGGGCTGATTTTTTAGTAGGGAGAGATGAGGTGAGGCGGGTTAGTGTAAAAAAAATTCAGGATGGTGGGCCATCCCACCTCACCCGTAAAATGGGGCAGGACGAGCCGAGTTTTCAGTTCATTCTCAAAAGTGAAATGGGGCAGGCTGACTCATTTTTGGCGAGTTAATGATGGGGCAGAGAGGCGCGCTCTACCACTGAGCTAATAGCTCGTCGTGCTCGCCTCCTGCCTGGGCCCGCTATGCCAAAAGCGAGAGAAACTTCATCCTTCTCTTTCCTTTTTATCACGGGCCGGGCGAGGCTGCCCACTTTGTTACCTCTATTCAAAATATTATTCAATTGAATAAGTAAAAAGGAAATATGTCAGATTAGTGCTTACATTAAAATTTTTAATTGCCAGGTCTATTCATTTTAAGAGAAGTACAAAAAAAGAAATTAATATTTAATTTCTATTCTTATTTATAAACAAAATTATCTTTCTTTGTAAAACTTTTCACTTTCCCCGCATGAAAAAAAATGTGTATATTAGTAGAAATAGATTATTTTACTTACTTCTTTTTTTTTGCTTACCTTTGTCTATCACTCTTTAATATCATTAGATCAGAATCTCAACTACCTTTATCATTTCTCTCTCCTATTGAGATTCTGATCTAATGATGTTAGAAAGTGTTAGGCAAGAAAAAAATAAGTAGAATAACATATCCCATATTAGTATATGGATTTATTATTTTTCATGTTATAGGAGATAAATTTATCCATACATATACATAAAAGTATGTGAGACCTATATTTTCTTTCTCTTTTTTCTCCTCATATGAGCCCATATGAACCTCACATACTATTATGTGTGTATAAGAGATAAAATTTATCTACTATGAGAAACATTAAACCCTTAGGGCTCGTTTGGTGGACAGGATAGGATAAAGGTAGGATATGATATGGGGCTAATAAGCCTATATCATGTCCTATGTTTGATGAGCACCTGTTTAACAATCTGATAAGATTATGTAGAAGGAGAAAGGAGAAAGAAAAACAAAATATAATGCAATAAATACAAATATATTGGGTAGCGTGGGGATATATTGGGTAGCGTGAGAATATATTTGGTATCCAATATTAGTATCCTATCTTGTTGAATCATAACCCAGCTCCCCTCATAGGATAAGAAATCATGTATTAGATAAGATAAAATGAGACAATAGGATAAACTAATCATATCCTATTGACCCACCAAACAAAAGATAAAAGTAGGATATGATTAGTTATCCTATCCTATCTTCTTTATCAGGTGCTTCAAACATACCCTTACTATATATACCTGGAAAGGCTTTTTCCAAATCCTATTCACGACAGACTGTCCTAAAAACCATCTCCAAGAGCTCATATTTAGTGCACCACGAATACACACTCATTTATAAAAAAAGGAAAAATATATGATATGGGTGGAACTAACTATAAAGGTAAGGATAGTTTAAAAATGTTATTTTTTGCCATATTTAATAAATTATGTACTGGGTACTCGATAGGAGAGGAGTATCGAAAATATTTTCCATCATCTCCAGGTGCCTACTTTCAAGGCCAACATCTCCTTTGTCTTGGACCTGGCGAATCACACCCTACACAGTCATAGACATAAATGTTGCTTTTATTTTTGCTGTAATGCATTATGTTTTTTATATATAAATGCATAAGTGCATATGTTACATTTACCCGATGAATGCTAGGAATTGGTGTTGAGATTCATGAACAACCATCGTTACTTGGACTCTTTCTCTCTCGTATCAAAGCAATTCATGTCCATTACCAACCACCTATGATTCTCCCTCACAATCTACTACCTAACACTCCTTTTTCTCACATCCTTCGATGCATTTCTCCACCATATCTCTCGTTCATAGCTGGAATTCAAATCGCTCAATCTCTCCCACCACCCAACAATTCCCTCAAATGGGTTGCGAGCTTTGGCCAAAAGATGAAAAGTTTAAAGTTTAAACACTCTTAGCTGCTCCAACATGGGTTCTCTCAAAAATGCCAATATCCTCTTCATCGCCAATTTTTTCCATTTCCTCGAAGAACTCAATCTCAGCTTCCCTAAAGACTACAATTTGAACAATTTCATTGACCCCATTTGAATAACGTAATATGGGTCGTGTATGAATGGTAATGAAACAGGGATAGTTCCAGCAATAAGAATGATGGATAAGACTACTCGATGGGTGGAGCTAGTCGATGGTGGCAGAGGTTGCACGGTGATGAATCTAACATGTGGCAATGGAGAGATGAGCATCGAGAGCTGCGTTGAAATAAAGGATTTATATTTTCCCTATCCTATCTGGTTAAATGCTAACCTAAGGTCCCCCCCTCCTCAAGATAACTTATCAAGCTTTCAATTAAGGGTGTTTGGGGTCTAGATTGGATCAATTTTGAAGCAAAAATCGGTTGATCCAATCTCTTCGGTTTGATCGTTTAATCATCATTAGATTTGAATTTTTTTAATAAAATCTGATCTGATCCAATCCAATTTTATTTGGTTTGGATTGGATCAGTTTTTGATTTTTTGAAGAGCCTTAAATTTTAGTCATACAAACTGCTAGCTATATCAAAATAAAGTCATTCAAAGATACAAATCACTAGAAAATTCAAGTCTTCAAACTAAAATAAGTGTTAAAACTCATGAAAAGTTAAAATAAATTAATAGACAATAAAAAACTAAAACAAGATAGTTTGCTATCAACAATATCCAAGATTCCAAGTCTATAAAACAACAAGATTCTAAGTCACCATCTTTTGAAAATAATATATACACAATACATTGGATCTGTTTTCACCAACCAAATCAAAAACCGATCCAATCCAATTAAAATATGCAATTTTTTTCGGTTTTTGATTTTTTGATTTTCGGTTAATTTGATTATCGTTTTTTCGGTTTTGTAACCACGGATTGAATCGGTTTGGATCAGTTGATAAACACTCCTACTTTTAATAATATAAAATAAGCTAATTTGATAAGTTTGTACTATCCATTGGGCTCAACAAACAACTGATAATAATATGATAAGATAGTTTATCCTATCCTATCTTATCCTTCTTATCTGGTGCTCCAAACGAGCCCTAAAGGTTTAATACTTTGATTGATAAAAATCAAGTCATATATCAAGTTGTTGAATGGTGTAAGGTATAAGCTTAATAATTCTAAGACATATTATAAGTCAATCATCCCACTTGCATAAAATATCTCACGTGACTTATAAATTATAATAGAGTAGAATAAACGTTTAATAATAAGCATGAGACTTACATCGGTATAAATTCATCATTCTAAATATATATAAGGTTAATTGTTTCTTCTGTCAAAAGAAATAAAGTTATCTCCTGCAATTCCAAAACGATATCATTTTGGGGTAAGGAAAAGATTTGTCATAATTTTTTTGCCATGCATACATCCTAAAATTATCCTCCTCGGTCTCTTCACCTTAGGCGCCATTACCAACATGACACTACAATTTTTCAACATTTTTCTCGAGTTCCCCCTTTTCTCAAACTTCCTTAATCTCCACCGCATTCCCTTCTCCCAATCATCCTTATCTTCAAACATACCCCCTCGTTACTCGACTTCTTCTCATCGTTCTTCTCTAGGTTTGACTTCCTATATGCCACCTCTATGTTGTTCCATGCCTCTCCCTCGAAACCATAGCAACGCGAGGAGAATTCCTTCTCTTGTGGGAAGTTTAGAACCACGTCCACCCCAATAAGATGAGCCTTCCTCTCCAAAATCATGCTCTGTAATGTAGTCAAGTCCAATA